TGCTCGACTCTCTGATAATGAATTTCAACTCACTGCCAATATCGCTTCCAGGTTCGTAATAAAAAAGTTATTTCGTAATAAATTTATTTGAAATATAGATAAGAAATTCTTTTCATAAGAGATATAAATAAAAGTTCCTATGTATGCATATATCTATAGCAAGAAAAGATATATTTTTTTACGTTAATAATATATATTTATTTTAGTTTTGTATAATATTTTTAATCTTTATATATGTAATAAATTTTAATGTTTTATCTTTATTTTATTTGATAGGATAATATTTTTTTAAGAAAATAATTTTAGTTTTTTATGTAAATATCACATATCTTTATTCTGTTCTTTTTACAGTATTAGTGTCGATATGATGAGCACAATGACGGTGGATGCTTTTTACAAATCTGCCGGGCTTAAACTACGAACAAATCTTTACACTTCCGGAAATATGCACCTTCATCTGAATTTAAACAACACCCGTTTAGTGCATGTGAGTCTGGGCTTACCGAATCGCAAGATTGAAATGTTTTCGTTAGTCTCGGACGTTGCTTTTATCAAAAGCAACGGTGGCGAGGTGCAGGAAAAACTATTGAGTATTCTGGTAGCCGATCAAAATCAGAAAAACTTGCGACATCTTGCTATACCCAAGAATATCGTCAGCAACACTACTTGCAGCTGGGCCGCCTTAGATAGGCTGATCGGTTTAAAAATGTGCACTGATTATCAATTTACAAACGTGACAAAAGATCCCAATGCACCCTATTTCGTTTTAAATGGTCTTACGCTGTTCAAGGTCTCGTTGATTAAAACTGATCCAACCGCCAAAAATTATGTGTTAGAATATAGCTGGAACAAGACTCAGGTATAATCAAAGCTACGCATAACTTTTTATATAATACCTACGTGTAATTTCTTTGTTTTCGATAAGTATATTAATTAAATAACGATATTTAATGAGAATTATAATAAAATCTTGATTCTCTGAATATTAATATATAAAGCGATAGATGTTTTTCATATTTTTTATTAATTTTCTTTCAGGAGTATAGCACATTTAAGTTAATGTTCGATACGCCTGGCTCTCAGGTGAATAGAGAGATAAGCGCTGTTATCACCTTTGACATAATGAATAATAACGTTACTGCTCTATTTCATTCGGCTGGCAATTCTCTAATTGCTAAAGGTAGTGTTTTCTGAATGTGTGTCTAGAGTTTTCTCAAATAATGATGAACGAAGGTATTATAGTAATGTCTGTATATTTTTCAGGTACATATAAACGTTCCGAAGATGAGACTTTTATAGATATTGGTTTTGATATTAATGGCACAAAGCACTTAGATGCTAGTCTAGGTTACTCGAGAAAAAAGTTCAATCACGGTTATACTTATCATCCTACAGCTCATTTAATTATCAATAGTGAACGCGTAGCTGCCATTTCAGGTATTTTGTACGCACAATTGTATTAATAATTAAGCAATTGAGTTCATATTGTTAATTAACTCTTTCAAAAAAATAATTTAATTTTGCTTCTTACTTATCTTTAAATTTTTTAAATTCTAATTAGTTATTATATTGATATATAATAGTATACTATATACATATAATCATATACTTAAAAAAAATACTAAAAAGTTAAGCAATACTTGAAATTTGAAATCACAGGTGCCATTAGAAATGCACAGAAGAACAATGTTTCCCAGTTCGATATAGACCTGACCTTCCAAACGAAGCGAGTTTGGAGCAAATTAGTCGGCTACATTGTTAGGCGAAATATCAGCTTGGCCGGCGATTTTCAGCTGGATTATCAGATGCAACATATGCCAAGAAAGGAAACCCTCCACTTGGAGGTTTCGCTGTCTAATCGCTCCTCGAAGACATTAACGTACAAGGCCGCTGAAATGAAGTTGCATTCCACCGCCTATCCACAACTCAACGCTGTAATAAGCGCTTGGTACCAGCAAGCTCTTGGCCACTTGGAGCTCCATGCCGAAGTAAATTCCAATCCGCACCTTAAGGACGATCGGCATAAACTCACGGCGCAGCTCATTATCTCCTATTCGAAGATGTACTTCCAGAATCAAGGCACGAAGGTGACTGCGTTAATAGCCGTCACTAAACCCATCCAGAACTTGGATCTCAAGATGGGAGTTAATCACCATGTCCTTGGCCCTGAATCGAAGACCAGCTTGCTCATAGGATACGCACCAGGTAAGATACAAATAATACAATTCGTATAATACAATTATTTACAAATGTATGCGAAATTTTTTTGGCTATAAGAAAAAATTCAGAAATCCTATATTTGCAGGCAAGGAGATTAGTCTGATCGTCAATGTTATTATGCCGCGCGGTTTATTATTTTCTATGGAAGGTCATACAAACCTGACAATTCCGAATTTCAATTCAATGCTAATCAACGCGCGTATCAACGAGCGTTCGAGGAACGAGTACGACCTGGAGTTCTCCGGAACATGGTTTAGCGGTCATAATATGACTGCACGTGGCGCTTATTCTGATCGATCGTCTGCCGTTATCGTCAATCATCACATGAAAATGATCTTCAAATCGCCAAGCTTTGTCACTCCAATTCTACTCAACTGCCATTTATATCAGGACCACAGCGATCTCAAAATCAGTCTGTATGCCGAACAGCTGGATTATGATAAGTACGCTTTTGTGCTGAATCACACGATGCTGTCGGCGACCAATTTAATGTCTTATGTAGAAGCGAGATACCGTGGCAACGTGTACTCGGTGATGACAAACGTCGATACTACGCGAGAAATTCGTGTAGAGCTACATCTGCATAAATGGCGTGACGTGCATCTGACTCTGAGCGGTATCAACGAGGAGGATCGGCATGAGTTTGCGGCAGAAATCAAGTGGGATGCTAATAGAGATCCTACCTTGAAGCTGAGTACGATGTTGCAGTTGAACAGGGTGTATCTGATAGACGTAAGTTCTCCCGGAATCAAACGAAGCGTGTTGGTAATGTTGACTTATCCAGGTCGACTAGTAACCGGCTCTTGTGATTTGATCGTACGTAGTCCACACAGTTATTTGGTAGATATTATTCTGGATTGGGGTTCGGAAAACGTGATTAAGACATCGATTGGCGCGGACTATGTCGTGCAGCCGGAAATAACGACCGTTAAGTTGGAATCGCAACTATTGACGCCTTTCGAAAACTGGAAGAAGACTGCCTTGAATACAAAGTAAGAATGCTTTGATATATGAATTATTTTATGTAATAAAATATATTTAAAATTATATAATTACTAAATATTTTTAATTATTAAAGTATTAATTATTTTATGTGTCAATAAAATATTTAAAATGCTATTAGATTAATAGTTAAAAATGTAACACCAGTTTATTATAATAATGAAAATATTATTATTAATTCTAGCGAAATATATTATAAAAAATATTTTAATTCTATTTTTGTTCACAGATATCTACAACTGCCAAACAAGATCCTAGCAAGCAGTAGTGTTCATTGGAAAGACTCTCAGCACGTGGTAGCAGAGATCTATGCTAGTGCAAACGAATACAAAGATCTGAAAGAATGGACAGCAAACTGCGGTTTGATCAGTACCGTTCACTCTAACTCAGCAGTGATCATGAATATCACCCACAAAGTTCTACGCTCGCAAACGACGGATACACACGTGTTGATTAAATATAATCCTGACAAGATAATTGACGCGCGCAGTGTTTGGCACTTGGACAAGGAATCGGATGACGTGTTTAATCTAACCGGAAATCTACATTTGCATTCGCCTCTGGCGAATTATCGGAACAGCGAACTCAAATGCCAGCTGCGTCTTATGACCAACTGGAAATTCTTTGGCGCAGCCAATCTTGACCTGGATAAACGTAAATACACTAGTCAATTAATCGGCGATCTAGTACGCTGGAAGGAATCCAAGGTGGAGTTTAACGTTACCATGCCACTGGAGAAGTTTGCCTTTGTTCGTGGTAGATTCGGTCTGTCGGAGAGCAACCATCACGTAGTGGCAGAAGTTGTCACACCGAACGGTCCTCTAGGCGTTGAGGGATTGTGTCAAATCTTTAACGCTGCTTATGACTTCAACGTCAAACTCATGGTAGCGACGCCAATCGAAGTGCTACAGAAAGCATTGATAGTGATCAAGCTAAATAGGCGTGAGGCTGACTTCAGAATCGGTTATAATAACATCACAGCGGGTTTCCTCGGCACTTGGCATTATCACAATATCACCGATTTCGATTACAGCTACATAGTACTCACACCTCTTGAAGGTTTTCAAGAGTGCGGCGTGATCACAAAACTGATCATAACGCACACAGAGCGTGAGCATATGTTGAATGTAGATACAGAGTTTTCGGCGAGATTGGCGGATCTTAAACTTGGTATCATGGCTAAGGGTGGACCGAAACCACCACCTGTTAAAATTCCTCCGTTAAAACAGGGGATTATAAGATCTATGACAAACGATTCCGAATTGTCAGAAGAAGAGGAAGAAGAGGAAGAGGATGAAGAAGATGAGGATAGTCTCTATTGGCGAGGAGAATTGCAGGTAATCGTAATTCGAATAATCGAACTATAATTCGAAAATAAAATTTAATTACAAAAATTGGATTTTAAGAACTTAACATTTAAATTATAAATATTATTAATTAAAAATTGAAATATTAATTTATAGATATATTTAAGGAAAATTAATATAAATATTAAAAATACGTATTTATATTATTTCAACAAAAATATAATTATTAATTTAATGCTATTGCTGATTAAATATACGATAATGCATATATTCATTTATTTGCAGCTATGGCTTGGAATAATCTCGGATATATTGGCAGAACTAGATATCGATACTGAAGATTACACCTATAAGATACTAGGCATAATACAAATACCATTCGAAAAAATTGTCATAGAGGACAGCTTTAGCATGGAAGATGTTTTTCATATAAAAAACGATCTACATATTGATCTAACGTTTGGCAAAATTAAAGAGATAACGTCCTTATATGCCTTTATCATCGATATGGAGAATCTCACTTACCTCATGGACATGAACTAAAACATCAGAAAAAATACTACATGGTTCGAGGTAATATTTTTAATTTGATATTTTATTTTCATAATAATAATATTAATAAAATAAAGTTTATATATAATGAAGAAGAAAAGAAATTCTATTAAACACTTAAAATTTTACACAGACTGAATTTCATGGCAATTATACGTATAAGATCAATAGGAACAATCGAAAGGATGTTGTACATTTGGTGAAATTCGACATAAAGACTCCTTTAGAAATTTTCAAAACCTTCAACACTAACGCGATCATAGAAATCCAGAGCGATCTATACAAAGGTATACTTACAATTCATGGAGACCAATTGTTTTTGGATATACTTGGAAATATAAAGGTGAGTTTCACACGCTTTTTTAAATTTATGAATAAATTGCAGATATTCAAATAAAAAAAATTCGACTTCTTTTTCGCGTAGTTGGAACAGGCTTTGCTAGATGTGATGGTTTCGGGTCTGATTGATTCACCTATTATAAAAATACCGAAAATCACGGTTGCCGCGAAAAAGGATTTCGCTGGAAACAGAAAGCAAGTTCAGTTCAACGCAAGGATGGAACATCCTATATCCAAACAAGTAAAGTACCAAAATTTATTTTTAATTTGATTAAAATACGAATATAACAATTATCTTTTATTAATTATGTAGTTTATTTGATTGTTATAGAAATAATATAACAACATAACATAATTAAACAGAATTAAATTAAAATCGAAATGAATAATAATAAGTAACAGACAAAGTAAGAGTCAACACATTTCTTTTTGGAATTAACAAAAGAATATATTTCAATTAACAAAGATAAAATTACATAACGTAAAAGATAGAATCAAAATTAAGAAAATAATTACAAGTTACAAGTTTCGGCTACTGGATTGAGCCCTTTTCAGACATTAATATAACGAAAAAATCGCAGAACAAAATCGATTATCGCAAATGATCGCATATTCGTAACATTCACAATTCGGGTGAGTCTTGATGTAGAGTTCGACATTATTTCCGTACGATTGAAATACATCAAATGTATTAAAAAAAAAAAATTCCGGTATGTTCATTCATTTACGCGTAGATCTTTTTGTGTAAAGTTTTTAAGTTTTTCTCTTTATCAACTAGAGCTTTGCCAAAAATTTTTTTTTTTACGGAAATAATGTCGAACTCCACATCAAGACTCACCCGAATTGTGAATGTTACGAATATGCGATCATTTGCGATAATTGATTTTGTTCTGCGATTTTTTCGTTATGTTAATGTCTGAAAAGGGCTCAATCCAGTAGCCGAAACTTGTAACTTGTAATTATTTTCTTAATTTTGATTCTATCTTTTACGTTATGTAATTTTACCTTTGTTAATTGAAATATATTCTTTTGTTAATTCCAAAAAAATGTGTTGACTCTTACTTTGCCCGTTACTTATTATTATTCGTTTTGTATAGAAAGAATCCTTTGATTTGTTAAAATTACTTAAAATCGAAGTCTTTATTTTTTAGATATCCTTTGAATCCGCCTGGCAAGTAGATGAATATCTCATAAAAGCTTCCGCAAAATTGGAAAGCTGGATAAAAGCTTTAGAATCATTAGAAACCGACATCGTTTATAGCAACGCAATTAGCGTAAACAATACCGCCAAGTTAAATGTCCATGTAACGCATCTCGGTGATCAAAAGTATCAATTGATTGGAAACATAAACAACGGTAAGATCGACGGCGATCTACACACGCCGCTGTCAGAAAGACCTCATTTCCAGTTTCACGGTGACTTAAGACAAATCAACGAATCGTTGTACGATATCAGAGGAGAGTTAAGGAACGATTTACAAGCGAAATCTTACGACGTCAGCACTGTCATCTTTGTGCAGAATAATATTGTCGATTCAATAGATATAAAGGCCGAGCCGAAGAGCGCGAACACCAATCGACTTATTTTTAGATTAAAAAAGAAGAAATATGGTCTCCTACTGGATGTGGATGGCGGATCGTTCAATGGTACCCTCGACGCAAACGTGCTTAACAATCTGAATTGGGATGTGAGAGTTCGCACAGATATTCAAAAAGCTAATGAAATAAATGTTTATCAATTAAACACCTTTATGAATGTGCAAGTAAATGGCAATACCACTCTATATATTCTTGCGGAAACACCCTGGAATGACAGCAGGATCCTGACGGTGAAAGGTAATATAATGCTGACTAACACGAGCGGCGACGTCCGGTTGGATCATCGAATGAATAATGATCGATGTCATGCAACTGCAAAATGGAAATTGATCTACATGGAGGACATGCTTCTGAAATTGATTACGGGATTTGACACCAGGGACCTGGGCAAAAAGGAATTGTCCACTCATGTATTCTTTAAAAACCCTGGTCGATTATACAGGAACATTGATGTAGGTTTCGATGTAGATATCGATAAAAAGGTGTGGGAATTTGAGACAAACGCGACTATTGGTTTTCGCAATCAGGAGAACATTGACGCGGTGTTTGTCGTAAAATTGCCACCTCCAAACAATGATGATCATCGATTCCTGATCAGCTATCATACTAATAAAAATAACAAGGAAGTACAAGTTATTTCTTATGTGGTGGGCTACAACACAGTTCGAACTCATAAAAATTATGCTTCGGACGGATCGGTTTGTATCTCTGATATTAATAAGCAATAAAATTAATCCGTAATAACACAAACTTGAATAAGTTAAATGTAAAATTTTAGATTCGAATGGCTACGCGTGACATTAACGGGCACTTCCGACTGACTTGGGGATTGTTGCCCATGCAATCCGTCAACAATCTCTTCAATATCACTTTTAATAAGAACGAGATGGATCTCAAATATTCACTCTATACACCTTTCATTTTGCAAGAAGAAACGATCGTACTTCTCTTCAATTATGATACTAATTCCGAGCAATATTTGATCAACGCTGATCTTTTTTATCCTTCAAGACGGCAAGTTGGAACTGCAAAGATATCTTACGAAAGTCTGATGAACGTTAATGGAACTGTTAACGCTTCAATACCTATGCAACAATTGTCATACGTTGGATGTAATTTTGTTATACTTACTACCTTGTAAGTATAATTTTATTTTATATAATAAAATTTATTACATAATAGAAGAAATTAAATCGAAAAAAAAATTAATTTTCTTGTCGCATGATGTTCTAAAAATCAAAACTTGTTCATTATACTAATTATCCAGAATTTTACAATACTTTCAAAAATTTTATTTGCCACTCAAAAATGATGTTCTAAGACATATTAGAAATATTATTTGCATATTTTATAAAATAAAAGAATATTTCTTTTATTTTTTTGAATTTCTTCTTTTTATACAGGAAACAGAATAAAAGATTCTTCGAGTTCTTTTGGCCTAATAATACGGGTTTATTGAATTCCGATTACAATTATCACAGTGAGCGATTGGATTCGAATCTGGAAGGCGTTTTGCACATAGAAGTTCCTCTGAATGCTCGTCACATCGGCATTCTGAACTATGGCTACAAGAAACGTCCACAAGTCATCAATGGCCACTCTACCTTAATGTACAATAATCAAAAGGTGCTACATGTTCAATATAATTCAAAGAGTGAGTCTCGAGCCGGTTTCGACAAAGATCGCATGCAGATCACGGTGGAGAATATTTACAAGCCTATAGGTATTGTCTACGTGAACCAGTATGAGTACAGTGGTGGAAACGAAGGTACCAACTATCCCACTGTCGAGTTCAAACAGGTGAATATCTATCGACTAGATAACAGCTCGGCGTTCAACATCGCCGGTGAATCTAGAATCCGAACTACTCACACCGGCCAGAACATCCATCTGAAGGCGATGCATTTAAACAAGACACTCCAGTTAAAGACAGACTACGAGGTTTTGTCCGGCGAGTTTGATCACAACACTTGGTTGAGCTTAGCTGAAGACGCGTGGGTTTCTTACCATGTGAATATTCTGAATAAAACTACCGAGGAAATAGACAATCAGTTCCTTATTCTCAGTATCTGTTATCCACGACGAAACTTCACTTTGGGCGGATCCTATAGGATCACTAGCGACGAATTGAACTCTGAAGCGAATTTACAATGGGAACGTGATGATGAGAAGTCGAGGAGCATTGGTGCAATTTTTGATTGGATGAATATCACCGACACGTCGATGGAGAGTCAACAGCAAGCTATGTTAACCTTTTATCATCCAACTTTCGAGAAGAACGTTACTTTAAAGGGTGTATTAATGAGAAAAGACCATAGGGATTTGCTGAATGTCGCTTTCACCGCAGATTATTCCAATAACGAAAATAAATTATTAACATTGTCCGCATTGTTGAGAGACGAGAGTGATGAAATGAACAAAAAGTATGCCTACAAGATAGCCGGGAAACAAACCAGTACTAAATTAGATCTTGATATCGAGGGATTTATTTATAAACAAGAATTTATACTACTTGAAACGGTGAATCACGCTCGGTACGCGCGCGGTTATTTGCCGAGTGAAAGTGGAGAATTAATTAGTCGAATCGACCGGAGATCGAAGGAAATAATTTATCGACGAGTAAACAATGACCAGGTCAAATATTTCGCGATCGGTTATTATCCTTCGCCTTCTCAATACATTATAAATGGTAGCGCTATCAATACACCGGAACTTAATGCCACCGGCATTTTCCTCTTGGACTCGGATGAGAAACTCACTTGGATGATGGTGAATTATACACCCGGTAATTAATAATATATAAAAAAATGTTTAATAAACGAGATATTAAAAATTAATAAGGTGATTGATAAAATAAGTATTAAAAATATTAAGAAATTAGAAATTTTTAAATATGTGTGTATAATATTCTTTGTTTTATTCTATAGTTTATAAAAAGCTTACATATTTAAAATAAATTTTATAGATTTTTTAATTGTTTTTATTTTCTATATTTTCTTCTTTATAGATGCAACAGTCAGCTTAAGAATGCACGGCAGTATTCCGGACGCTAGAAACGCTATATTTAATGTTTGGAGAACCTACGACGATGATTTAAGAATTTCGGACGTTTCTTTCTACCTGAAGATGAATCACTCAAGGCTCGTTACTTCAACTTTGCGATGGCGGCCGGAACTTAAAAGCGATGTTATTGTAAGATAAATTCATACACATTAGACATCCACTTAATGTAATTTTAATATAATTAATAGTGATTATGTTACAATTGTTGATAGACTATTGCAAAAACGACATTCAATGAAATGTGCGAAAGCATGAATAATGATATTGATTATTGGAAGCATTATATAAAGAGCGAAGTAAAAAGTGCTATCATGGATGTATGGGAGGATGCTCAGGAGGACATTTCGGGATTCCTTGACGATTGGAAGTATGTAATGAAAAATCTTATTTAATATTATATCTATAACATAAAATCAGATGTGTTTCGAAAGATAATAAGATAAATGATAATATGATGAAATAGATGATATAAATTAAGTAATATATAATATATTATATATAATGCAAAAAATATTAAGATATTAATATATAGAATAATTATCTATATTGTGTGAATTTATATTTATATAATTTTCTTTTTCTCTGTTCTTTTCAGTGATTTGAAAATTCTCGAGAATGATTTTGAAGATCTCAAGATATATCTGAACAATTCCTATAACGCGAATGACTTTTACATCAAGGATATCATCGGTTTCGGTATATTCATCATCGACGAACTGTCTCTGCGAAGTCACATTGAATCCCTTCCTAACATTTTAAATGAAATCTGGGAGATAATGGGCGAATCTGGGGAAGCTTTGCGAAATTCGTTGCTCTGGTTGATTGAGACTATCAAGAATGCTTATCATAAGGTGTCCGAGATTATAGCCGCTGTATTGAAAGGCGATTCATTGTCGCAAGTAGCGAATATAATTGAGAAGCTGATCGAAAAGTACGACATATTTATCAAGGATCTTCATGTATCCTTCATTAAATATATCGAAAATTTGTGGAACACGATTTTCTCATCCATCTCAGAACAATGGTATCGCTTCTTGAAATTAATGGAACCTCTGTTTATCCGTTTTCTTCATTATGTTGAGACGCTCCTTTGGAAAGCAAGCAAAGAAATGCTGGACTTCTTGTACGATCGTAAAAAAGAGATCATCACATCGCCGTACTTTGATCGCTTTACTAATTTCACCCATGACGTCGATAAGGTCTATCGCGACATCAAGGCAAATGATATCGTGACCAACATGCACAAGTATTCAGGCTTGATAATACAGTTCGTAAAACAGCGCTACTTCGCCTTCGTGCCATTCGGCAAGGAGCTTAAAGATGTCGTAGATGAGATCGTATTAGAACTGAAAGAGCTCCGGAAACTGCCGTCGGTCAACTATTCTGTAGAGAAACTCGAGCAGTTATATGAAAGAATTAGCTACTTCTGCGAGTACTTTGAAGTTAAGTTCAAAATAGAAGGTTTTATTCGATTGGTGCACTCCAAGATGATGGACATTAGTCAAACGGCGCTGGAAGCCGAGAATCGTTACAGAGAGGCTAAAACCATGTTCATCTTCGATCCTAATGAGGGCTTGATGTGTCTGGAGCAAAAACTACCTATGTCTTGGCATGCCTTTAATCAAACGCCCGAGTTTCACGAAATACCGGAGATCAGAGCGATCGCTGACTTCAAGACATACTTTGTCACCTCAAACACTACTTTCTGGAGTCTTTACTATCAATACAAGCCATACTCGGAGTTGTCAAACTGGTTACCACCGTTCAAAGGTTCGTCTCGCAACCACTTAAAAATTTAAAAATAATTAAACGATAATTGAATTTAGTATCGAATTGATGTATCGAATTTTAAATACATCGAAAATAATACAATTTTTAATAATTTGTACTATTTCAGCGCAAGCCATGATTATTGGTTCCCAGCATTATATTACTTTCGATGGACGTTACTTTGAATTTGCGGGAAATTGTATCTACTTGTTAGCGAAGGATTTTGTACGCGACACTTTCACAATTTTGGTGAAATATGATCAACAAGATGAGGAAATTACTCACAAGATTATAGTGCTAATCGGAAGCAATGCTATCGAATTGGACCTCTTCAACGATGTCAGTATATAACTTAATTCATATTAAAAATTAAATTAAAATTTCAATCACTTTTGACTAGTAAAAAATTATGCTTATGACTTAAAAAAGCTACATTACTAAAAAAAAAGATTTTTCAGAGGAAATTTATGAAGGCAAAAATAAAATTCATAACGAGAAAAGTTAAAAAAAAGAATTTTTTCAATAGTGTTTTAAAAATAGCTTGTTAAAGGAAATAAAATATCCAATGATAGATAATTTATCATTGTATTTTAATAATAAATGATAGTTATATGAAATGTTGTGTTATCCAGACAATGAAGCTGATCTCTCAGAAATCAGCAGACATTACAAGCAACCTGCAGCTACCGATTGAATTAGACAACGACACATATGTTTATCAAGTGGAGAATGTAGTGATAGTAGAACGCAAACACAACCAATTTCGACTCGAATGTAATCTCAAGTTCAACGTATGCACCTTGGAACTATCCGGTTGGTATTATGGGAAGACAGCCGGTCTTCTTGGTACAATGAGTAATGAACAGTTTGACGACACCCTGGGATCGAACAAGTTACTCCTAAAGAATATCAGCAGCTTCGCTCATAGCTGGTCCATCGACGAAAACTGCGCCGACACGACAAATCGCGCCAGTAAGATTCAACAGCAGGATGGCCCGGTAGCCACGTTCTGCGACGAGCTGTTCGTGAACAAGAGCTCGGAATTCAGCGTCTGTTTTGGCGTGATCAATCCAACCGAATACGTCGATATGTGTCTAAGTAGCCTGACTGAGACCGAAGTGTGCACAGTGGCGATGTCGTACATGCAGATGTGTATGTTCCGCGACACTTATCTGCGAATACCCGACCGATGTACCACATGTACCATGATGGACGGCAGCCAGGTGGCCGAGGGTCGTTTTAAGCGATTGGAGGGCGACAGAGTGCCGCGATCAGCCGACGTGGTGTTCATCGTCGAGGCGAAGAGCTGCAATCACGACATAAAGATGAACAGCAGCATGGAGCTACTAATCACCCAGCTCAGTAAAGAATTGAACGATCAAGGTCTCACGGGCAATCGATGGTCCTTGGTAGTATTCGGTGGTGACGGAGTACATGACAAACCCAGAAGTATCATCCTTGACGGGCAGATCTTCACAAAGAACGTACCGCGCTTCGTCGATTACTTCGATTATGTGCCAATCGGCAGCGGCAGTCAGGACATCTTCGCCGCAATCGGTTTCGCCTCGCGGCTCGTCTTTAGAGCCGGCGTGTCGAAGACCTTCATACTAGTACCATGCTCGCATTGCGAACCAGAGAATCAAACGGTAATCCTAACTTTTCAATTTTACGAGATTTAAGCCCGGTTACACTATAACGTTACTTTAACTTTAAGCAAGGATTAAAACTCTCACTTTCTCTCTTTGAAAGAAAGAGAGAAAGAGCTAGAGAGAATTTTAAGCCTTGCTTAAAGTTCAAAATAATGTTGCAATTGGATCTTAAATATAATTATCGAATTATTATCTAATTGATCATTCGCTTTAGCTGGAATATTCCGTGTTACACCAAGTACTACTGGAGCACGACATCACTTTGCATATATTGATGGACGGCGACTTCCAATTCGAGAAGGAGAAAATCAGCAAGATTTTCTACGGTTTAGATGCGGCCAAGTCATACACGAAGAAGGATTCCCGTGTTTTGATTGGCGACGTGGATCTGAGAAGACAGGTCAAGCTCTCCAAGAATGTGCTGGGTTACTGCACGCCACTATCTCTAGAGACAAACGGCACGATATTTAGCGGAGACAAGTTACGTCTTGAAAAGTCGGCTTCGATCAAAAAGTTTGCAAGCGTCTTTTCGAAGAGGATCGCTCTCACAGCCGAGCCGAACAAATGTCAGTTCTGCGAATGCACCGCTGATAATAACGGCGTCACGCAGATGGAATGTATGCCGTGTATATATCCGACACCCGTGCATGTGAATTACGTGTGTGTACGTATCATACGTTCTATTAGGCTGCATTCGAGAAGTGCGCTATCAACGCTATTGCGTTATTTTTTTCTCTATCTTTATCGTATTAGGTTTATCGTTTATTAGGTATGAAATGAGAATGACACAACATTACTGATAACATGCTTTCTGAATGCAGGTTTAGAAGCGTCAAACAAAAAGTTCCAAGAGATATTACAAAACTTTAAAAGATATTCCTGTACTTGTCATCATTTAGAATGTCTAATTGAATAATCTCTTTATTGTATTGCAGGAGACTTTTAATCTCAACGAGTCGCTCTCGATGATGCCGCCATTGGACGATATAGATTATGGCCAAATCGATATAGAGAATGACTGAAATAAAATTAAGGAAATCCATACACTCCGTAGATAAATAATATAGGATGCTAGATAACTCGCTGGTATATATATTAGCCATATTTATTTATAATATAGCTTATAAGATGCAGTCCACTTGATGCTACAAGTACTTCGAAGCATTTGATTGACCAGAGGAAAAATTTACTATAAATTGATCAATCAAAGGGTGCGTTCCAAGTTATGCATGAAGCGCATAATGTATCGTTTTTTCCTGCTTTATTATTTGATGAACAAGGACAAATAATGCATCATGCGTTTCATGCGTAATTCGAAACGCATCCAAAAAATGCTTCGAAGCATTTTGTAGCATCAAGTGACTATAATATAGGTAATATACCTACCTCCTTGTCCAATCCAAGATTTTTCTTACAATAAATTAGGACATTAAACTTGGTTCGCATTAAGAATATCTATTGGAAACGTACAGAAAATTTAAGTGTATCAAATGAATTGCACAAATCTATGTACATTATTTTTAAATAACAATTGGCAATCTGATGTCAGATTTTATGATTCATATTCTACGACCGCAGTTTTCTTTTATATATATCACAATTACAAAATTATTCGTGGCATATAGCACAAATCATATATTTTATTATTTTAATATATAAAATATATCGAAATAAAGCACATGCTATCAAATATTATGCTATAAAATGGAATATATCGCATCATTTGTGAATATTAAATATTAAAGCATAAACATTAGTTCCAAAATCAAATTCTTGACAATAATTGGGATAAATAGGAATATATGGAAGGAATAATCAAGGAAACTGCATAATCACCATATAAAAGTACAACACAGGGTCGATATATAAAACTTTCCTGTCTATATATATTATCTGTATATAATATGTCTGAGACCTTATTATATATATAAAAATTTAATGCAAACCGGGAAATGGCAATTGATTCGCGTTACATTCTCTGCATCCTGAAACGCATTTACAATTTATTCCACAGTGGAATATGGCGAGTTTATCTAAACATTCTTTTCATGAAATCTTTCAATGTAACAAAGGAATAAACTCTATAACGCATAAAGTAATCGTGAAAACTTAATAGCCGACGCGAGAATGAAACGTAAGAGACCGCTTGTTCCGAAAACTTTCGATATGGCCGTGATAGACTGAACGTCACAATATACATAGTGACGGTGAGACGGAAGAGGAGAACCGGCGATAATACGATAGCGCTCGGCCTCGCGGTTTGGCCACTATTCATAATAATATCAACCCAATCCGTTTGAAAGTGGTCATCTGGTTGTCGTATCATGGGCTTGCAGGTGATTGGGTGCGTCGGCAAATGTAAACTTCAATTTGTACGCCTCGGCTACTAGCACGCCTATTTCTGAATCCGTCCAATTTTGCGTGGGCAGGTTTTGTAGCATTAACATCAGCCCCTGTAATTATTGAAGAATGACAATCGATCTTTATCTATAAGATTGTAGCATATTTTCCATTTAAGCGACAAGTCGATACAAACATCATTTTTCTTGATATTCACTAAATAACAAAAACACTTATATCAACTTGTACTAATGAAGTGCTAAAGCTAGCGGATGAATTACTTGAAAATCAGGTTGCAAGAGCAAGTGTCGCCTCCAACGAAGAAGGAAAGCCGCACATACATAGAGCTGAAACGAAGCGAATCTGTCAGATTCTGCCAAATACGTGTCCCACAGTCGGATAGTACAGTGAAGCGGGATTTCTCTGGTTAGCAGATTATTCATCCATCGAAAAGAGAATTGTAGATAATCCACTCCATGTTGATGCAAATGTTGATGCAATGGTGCTGAAAGCATTACAATAAAATGTTTAAAAAAATGAAAAGGACAAACACGAAACAGTTCCTAGTGAGATATTTACCATCAATCCTTTGTATTAGCTCCTTTAACTGATTCACTTTATGTTGGATTCCCAACTGAGCAAATATATAATTGTCTTGTATACCATCCAAGAATTTAGATAGGCACCAAAAACTATCCGCTTCGATAATGTCACGTTGCTCCTTCGATAATGACGCCACGTCATAATTTTCCAAATCTTGCCAAGCTTGTATCGGCACCGCCTCTTGCAGAAAAACCAAGAAAAAAGGTGTCACGAGGTCATTCATACCCTATAACAATGGATATATAAATAAATAATAACATAAATCTTTACTACAATATATAAGGAGTAAATAAGAGATACGATTTTACGTTAAATACCTGAACGTAACCAGATGCAGGATGTCTAATCGCCCAAATATATAATATTCTCTCGAATATCAGTTGCACCGTCGTCTGTTGAAATAGCGAGATGAGCGGTGACATTCTAGGGATATCGATATGAATCTGCCGATACGTGTCCTGAAAACCTTCATCCCTCTCGACATCGTAATATTGCTTCACCAAATTCCAATAGTCCAATCGTTTACGTTCCAACGCAGGTTGTCTACGTTCTAGATTAGCCGGCAAGTACTCCTACAATGACACGAACGCAATCCCTTAACGTTTTGCGACAGCATTCTACTAAGCTTGACATTGCAATGTGTTTACCTTCTCTACTTACAGACAATAACCGCCAAGTGACAGAACGTAATTTGGCAGGTACGCCCGACCATGATAGCTGCCTTAATTCATCTAGATTCAACACAGACGCTTCCAAAAGTAACTGAAACTTGTCCACTTTGCTCTCGCCATCTGAACAGATTTACAATTTTTTAAACTCTATGTCTTAAACCTAATCTACAATGTGTTTTTTGCTTCCTGCTTTTCATCAATTTTTATCTCTTATCCCATTCCATTTTCTGTCACTTGAGATAACAAACTTCAGAAGAGACAAAAGACAAAAAAATTATTATAAAACAGTCATAAAAAAAAGGACAAGAAGTAAAAAGCAAGAAACAGGAAATAAAAAGAGCACATTGTAGATTAGGCTTTAAAGATTAGGCTGCTAAATGTGAAATAAATGAATACATACCCTGCTCCTTTGAAGGTATAAAAAATTTATTAGGAGCATTTGCCTGTCTCAATGGCTGTGGTCTACCAGGAAATTGTGTCGGCTTATGCTGGGGCGATGCACTGTGCTTTAAATCTGCATCTTCACTGGAATGCTGGCTGTTAATCTGTGGGTGCAGATTCACGTTGCGTAGATGTAATGGTTGCACTGCCAGCCTTTGAAGGGCCTCTGCCTTTTTTTCCTCGGGG